ATTTTTGTCACTTTATCCGGCTCCATATCCAATTAAGACATAGCGTCAAGGGACAAGTCATATGTTCCGTTTATCACCCTCTTCAATTTTTTTTTTTATGTCTTTAGATGGTGAAATTTTTTACTCTTTTTATTATTATTATTATTATTATATCTTAAGAACAACCCATATTCCCCTTTAAAAAGAATGAGAATGTTTTTCTTTTTGTTTGGTAAAAAACATAAATTTGAAATGAACTTTAAATGTGGTGGGTAACGAGACAGGAACCATGTTTCTTGTACCCATCCGTTTACACGATTAGGTGGATAAGCTTTGCTCCGTTCAAAGCGAAACTCTGTGTGTATTGGGTTTAATGTGCTCTTTAACATCCTTAAATGTACTGTGTATGTTAATTAATTTTATATGATAAATATATTATCAAGTAATTGTATGTATAAAACAACAAAGAGTAAAAAGTCGATATTGGAAAAATTGAGGATACCAATTACGTGAAAATTAGGGTAAATTGTTTTGAGTATTGGTCCTGTCACACGTTTAATGTGTCGCACTTCATTGAGAGTGTTAATTAATGTTACGTGATGAAGATATCATATAGTTGCTTGTATAACCTTTTTATGCAAAAATGCACTCGTATTTGTATAATAAATTATAAAACAGTGACTACAAGTCAAACTTGGAGGAATTGAGGATATTCTTTACATGAAAATAAGGTTTAAGTGTTTGAATAGTGTCTTATGACGTTTTGTTTTGTTTTGTTTTGTTTTTGCTTTTTTTGTTTTTTAAAACTCGCAGTTGCTTCCTGCTAACAGAGCCCTGACCACCCTGAAGTGCTCATTAGGTAAATCCCGCTCTATGTGCAGTAACTCGCAAATCACACAGGAGAGGTAAACCACACTAGGCAAGCTCGGTGCGACCGAGAAAGTGTTGGCAGGAGCTTTGAACTCGTGACTTTTGGTCTCCGCGTTTACCTACTCCACCAACTCGACCATCTCCGAAGGGGTGTCTTATGACGTTTTATACTGGGGTTAAGTTATTTGTACATCAAAAGCATACATCATTTTTGACATCATCAAAGTGGCGTGATTTGATTTGTGAAAAAATTGTCTATTTTTTAAGGACCAAGCTACAAGCACAGGGATTTAAATCTCTGTACTTGCCAGACAACTCACACCATAGGTGGGTGGGGTGGGATTTTTGTCATTATTTTAATCATGTGGGGACACCATCATGTGAGACAATTTTTGANGGGTGGGTGTTGGTTTTTGTCATTATTTTAATCATGTGGTGCCACCATCATGTGAGACAATTTTTGAATTTCTGTATAAAATCTGTAAGAAATAATCCGTACTTGAGGAATTATTCTTTTTTTAAACTGTCCAATTACGTATTCCCATGTATCACAATGTAAAAAATGATGTAAATGTACCATGATTCTTTATACTGTACTGTCATGTACATTATTTTAATTAATTACGTGATAGAGATATTATAAAATAATTCCATATGCAACCTCCTTCCATGTACATGTACGGACACGTGTGTAAAACAATCACGACTAAGAGCTTGTTTGAGCCCCCAATTTATTGTAATAATACGGGTGTATTTGAGCCACATTAATTTGGAAAAATGTATTTTGGAATAGTAGATTGATGGAGAATGTGTGGTTGAAAAAGAAGAAAATGTTATTAATGTGATGAAATATATTTTTAGAATAGTAGATTAATAGAAAATATGTGGTTAAAAAATACGGAAAAATTTTGAATTTGCGTGTAATATTATTTTATTGACAAATCCGTAATTAAAAATAAGATATAGGGAAATGTAGTTTGAAAATAATGGAGATCAAACAACGGCTAAAAGTCAAACGTGAAGAAATTGAGAATGTCGGTTACATGAAATTAGCATGGATTGTTTGAATATTCGTGTACATTTTTTGGTTAATATTTGATACATGGTAAAAATTTATAAAATAAGTTCATAAATTTTTTGTAAGTATCTTTTTGCTGAAGTGGCAAATTATTAGAATCATGTTACTCATACAATTTTATTTGATTATTTTGATTAACAATTCATACTTGGCAATATTACATTTATTTATTTTAATTTAAAAAAAAATCAATTATTCAAATTTTGACAATACCAAAATTGTCCACGTGGATAGTTCAAATAGGTTGACTGAAATTATGTACCGTGCATGACGACATTTTACCCATTGGAGAAACCTACAGTTGCTCCGGGAGTGGCGGATCGGGGTGGCAAGTGTAATATTCGGTAAAGAAATGTCTTTTGGCCAAAATCAACGGTGAAATGTACACCCACGTGGACTGTAAAAAAAACTAAACAGTGAATCAGATGCTGCAGTACACCGTACGCCTCCCATGAATGCATCGGCTGACGGGAATTATCAAATTTATGTAGATTACCAAATTACCCTCCTCGTGATGCTTTTTTTTTTTTTTTGGGTTCTCAAAGAAAATTACTTTTGTACTTTAATTGTTTTTGAGAATCTTTCAACAACTTCAATTGAGATGAAATTTATTTATTTGATTCAACGATTAATGCATGTGATAACATAAATCAAGATAGATTAGGGACGTGATCTCCAACTTTCACGTAATATGGTTGTGGATTTTTATTTTTAAAAGTGAAGTTTTGGACCCTTAACCTAATTTTAAATTCGAGTCCACTTGTGAATAAAATTATTCATTTAGACATTAAAGTTCCACGTAGTTTTAAGTTGAATTGGAGATAAATATTAAATCTAGGTAACAATGAGGTCAATGCCGTAAAATGGGACGATCACAAGCCGACGGTGATGAGATTGGGGTCAATGATTCGGGGGAGAGGCGACCCATTTCAGGGCCCAAGGTTGACCTTGGGCGTTATACGAATGGGGTCGTGGCTCCAAGACTCTCCCGATTGGGTCTGAAAGTCGTGGCATTCAAATTTTGGATTCCGTTAAAATTAAATTTTGGGAAAAATGTATGGTTAAAAAAGAATTTTTTTATTTATATGTAATTATATTTTATTGAAGAATATATAATTAAAATGAAGAGAAAAAATGTATTTTGATATTAATGGAGTTCAAACGGGACATATTTTTCGAGATAAAATTACTTGGAAACCAAAATATGCTGAGTGGGTTGTTGGGGGCGGGTGTGGTGGGGTAAAATGGACATTAGA